GAGTGGGTAGACTGTTCACACATCCCCATCTCCTAAGTAGATTTGACACTCATCCAAGATGGCCGCCCGGAACGCAAAGTGCTCGATCTCGAGGATCTTACGGAAAAATAGGGGACTGTGAACAGCCTATTTCTTTACATGCTTTCCTCGCGATAATCATTCATTGTCCTATTGCTCTTTTCGACGTGTCCTACGCTAAATAAAGTTCATAATCTTCAAAATTTCAATGATTTAGTGATAGACTGAGCATCATCATTGTGAATCGACTTATGAATCGAAAATAGCCTATCAGGGCGTGGCGGAACATGCCCGGGGGAGGGAGGCACATCAAAATCAATCAAACTTCCATTTAACTCCCCACCTATTCCTCCAGGGATGTAAGGTTTCTCCGAACCTGCACCCTGCGGAACGAATTCCTTTGCTGCGGTATTTTTGTCAATAATAAAACTTTCCGCTAAGACACTTATTGTCTGTTTTGGTATTTCATCAACGCTGTCCGGATTAGATTTTTTACGAAGTTCTTTTCTCGGCTGACTTGCATTTAGATCAGTAGAATTATCATCATTATTTTCAGAGAGACCACTATTCTTTCCTTCCATCGTGCGTTCAACCTCGTTCCTGAAGCTTTCTGAGTCAGGTGCTTTAGCTTTTGACTGGGCAGCAAATTTCCATTCTTCACTAGTCATATCTTGGATGATATTGTCCTGATCATCTTCCCTCATCACAGTTCTACACTTGTTTAATGCCGCCTCATCCAACTGTGTACGTTGTTTTTGGCTATCCCCATCGTTATCACAACGTTCTTTGCAGTTGTCACGCAACAGAGGGAGTGGCACTGAGTCACACGTGTTGCTTGACTCAAGGTATCCCGTAGTCGTGTCACGAAAAATAGGACTTCTTTCAGTCACACCGTCCCGGACTTTGCTGCTGTCAATTTGATCACCCTTCATCGTAGCCAGATTATTCGTTGACCTCACCGGCATACTGCTGCAAACACCTGGCAATTCTGTGCAATCTATACTGAATACAGACTCTGTTGCTTGTCGTAACGGTGTGGATGCCTTCTCCTCTAAAATTACGTTGGTTGCTTTGGCTTTACGTCTTTTTCGAACTGGTGCAATGTTCTCATCCTCGTCAATTCCAAGTTCTTTGCACTGTTCAAGAACTGTAAATTGAAAAGAAAGGATATTTGTATGATTAGTTATGTTAATTATTCTGAGGCAGATACTATTACCAAAAACATGTGGCGTAGGGAACCCACTACATAAACTATATATCGCACGAAAGAGCACAGCCATATGGCAGCTGGGAACAGTTGCTAGTCCTCATCTTTGATTAACCTTAGATTATGAAATTCACTCCACTTGGTGCTGATGGAATAGAATTTTATGTCTATTTCTTCTAGCATCCCCAAATTTTCTAAACAACATAACAGAAATCAACACTGTAGAGATACCTAAAACTTAACCTTGGAAGTTATTTCTTCTAGCATCCCCAAATTTTCTAAACAACATAACAGAAATCAACACTGTAGAGATACCTAAAACTTAACCTGGGAAGTTATGGGGCCAGTAAACGTTCGCAAAACAACACTGACTCGATCTCGATCCCCATCGGCTCGTTTAAAAACTCGTTCCAAGGCGATAGTGGCACATGATCGAAGCTGCCTCTGCAAATGTTTTTTGGGGGAGGCCACCTGGCATCGATATTCAACATTGAAGTTAAGACAGTATCAGGTTGCGTTCTCTTTTGGTCGAACGCAACTAACGTGAAACTTTATACCATTAAAAAATGTTACCGGATTCTGTGGAATCTGTACCAAAGAAAATCTTCCTCATTCAAAATCCGACACTACAGAAAGTCTTGGCATACAGGACCGGAAGTTTAAGTCCAACCTCGTTTCTGAGGTTTTAAGTCTTTTGGTCCCCTGGGAACGAAGTTAGTTGAAGTTCTTTAGTCCTTCCTTGCTATCCTCGGGTTCTAAACCTCAATTCGAATCAGAAGATCGAAGATCTCAAAATTCCCAGAGAAATTCCTGGTTTTCTCGCCAGTTTTCTTATTTGGAAAATCACTTACCTCTCTCGTCAGGGACTTGTTTAGTGACCTGCAACAGTTTTATTGACCCTTCTGTCTTTTCACGTTTTTTCTTTTCCTCGGCGTCGTGACAAGCAGCCTTTTCATGAAAGCGTTCTTCGCCTGATTCATCTTGGTTGCAAGAGTCGCACTCATGAAGGCGAGTGAGTGCCCTGAGTCTGTTGAATATTAAAAGATGGAGCAAACTAGATCAGAATCTTGCATGAATCTACAAATCTGGTTTACTTTTGAGGCTGTTAGCTGTTTTTAAGTGTATGGGAAAACAAAAAGGGAAAATGAAAAACTGCAGAAAACATCCATCACCATAACGGTCGCTTTTGATTTTCCTTATCCTAGCGGAACGCATGGCACACCTAGTAAATGGCTCCACTAGCCATCGGTCCCTCTGCAGTTCATCGCCAGAGCGACACCTAGTATAGTGGGTTCAGTTTGACTGCTATCTGAGACACAGATTATTCTTTCTCCTCATCCCGCGTCACACGATAAACATGTTTTTGTGCTCACCATTGGCCTCAGGTTTGTTAGTCAGATGACTATTTCGAGCTACCGACGTAAAATAAGGACTCTTTACCTTTACATCAAGAGACACGTTCAAGTGCTAAATTAAAAAAGGCAAGTTTTGCTTCTTCCCCCAGGAATTGCTAAGGTTTTTAATCCAGGTCATTTGCCAGGGTATTGTACCTTTCAAAGGCGTCCTCCAATGTTTCCAGTCCCGCTGGTGGTACATTGGGATAGACATGGTAGGGTTTAAGGTAACCTACTAGATCCTGTATCTGGGAAAAATAGACACTTTGAATTATTACAAGAAAAAGGTTATATACATTACAAATTTACAATGGGATAACAGGGAATAGTAATTAATTATTTGGAGCCTAGAGGCTAAAGGAACAGTGAGGTTTTCAAGTTAGCCCCTAATACAATTCGTTTAGTAAAAAAAAAGAGAGAGACAAGGGGAGAAGAACTAACAGCATAATTAAGTTATAGTTAATAATGAAATTTCTATTCAGGTTACTTTCAGGGATTGTTCTGACAGCAAATAACGTTTTATTTCTTTGGAAAAGGAAAATGAGGTCTTTCAGGTGCTGAGGAATATCGCGTAAGAGATCTATTGCATGATACGAAAACATTTGTTTGCCCATGTTGGTTCATGTTTATTAGTTCTGGTAAAACAAAGGACGGAGAAAAAAATAGGCAGGTACAAAAGCGTATGTATACCTCTTCCATTGAAGCATGCATCGAATGAACTACCCTCCACAGTCTTTTGCCCTTGTCATATCTGTAGGGACAAAGAAATTACTCTTCAAACATAGAAGTTACAGCAGGGTGGAGGGTATTAAAGACGGTTTTCGTGTACACGTACGGGTAACTAAAACTCTGACCCGTACTGATAGCCGTAAATAAGGGTAGATTACTTGTTTCCCAGAAGAAACGACAAGACCGGCTAAAGTGATCATCCAAATACGACATTTAATGGGTAAACATTGTCCCCTTTTAATATACAGCTATTTCGAGAAAGGTTGTCGGAAAAAAGTGCACGCGACAATCCTGAAAGGCAATATGGGATATGATCACTACACTGTTTCTGACGACTGTAGCTGTCGAACCTACCTTTGCTGCTTCGCTTTAACACTCGAAAACATAGTCCATGGCCTCTCGTGCCATTCTTTCAAAATTTCTATGAAGAACAGTGAACTCAAAACCACCCACAATACATTTCGGGATTGTCGCGTGCACTTTTTCCGACAACCTTTCTCGAAATAGCTGTAAATACGTGGGAATTATGTTCCCATATTGGTACCCACAGGCTGACATGAACGGTGTATCTTAAGGTCCCTGATCACTGGCAATTCTAAATTTGCAAGCGCAAGCCATCGCTAACTATGATAGATTTTATTCGAAACCAATAGATCTCTACAGTAACGGGCTTCTATTCCGATACACTTGCCAAAAACGATAGGGTTCCACAAAAGTAACGGGCTTCTAAACCGATACACGTGCCTTCAACAAAATTACAATTCTCTAAATCGAAAAACTACTCCGTTCAAAGTGTCACATGATCACGTGTTCGAAACGTGATCGGCTACATCTAAGGTCAAAAAATGTCACGCGCGAAAAATAACACAAAACTCCGTGACGCTAACTTCCTTGGCCAATTGTAGGTTGCACGGAAACTGGATCAAGTTTGCAATGCTCTGCGTAGAATTTTCAATTTCACCTTTTGAAGTCAGCTGGCATTGGTCCTTTGTCACGTGCAATCCACATGGTTGTTGGCTTTATTCGTAGCACTTTCATCTTAAGGGAAGGCTGTGTTGTTACTCCACAGGGGAGATCTGATTCACAGTGTCGCTTAGACTACAAAAATCATAGTACCTAACAGGTGTTATTCCATATTTGATATTCCATACGTTATTCATTGGGCGCGATTAAACTAAATGAAATATACATACATGATACAAAAAAGTGGTAAAAAAGGTAAAGAATGGACTAATACCCAAAAGGGAAAGACACGAACAGGACACTTAGACCCATGATGAGTGCCCACACAAGGGATATAAAATGAATGGGTGCGGGAGGGGGGACGGGGGAAGAAGGGGTGAAAAAAACGTGAACACTTTGATTCGAATTGAGTACTAACCAATAACAATTCTTTTCTTGAAAAACGAGGAAACCTAAAAAATGTTTGCAGTTTTGATTTCTTACGCTTGACTGGCCTTTTCCTCGCTACTCAATAAAATTCCGTAAATATTTTTGCCTTACACGAAAGACATACAGAGATCACATGTAGCGAGAGCAAGATCGCACGCTACGTGTGAACATGACCAGAACCTAACTTTCATGACATACTGATAAACATGTGTATAACTATTAACAGAAACTACCAACCTGCCAACTGCAGGCGTGAATCCTAGTGGATCGGCCTTCAGTGGTGAAGTAAGGTGTCATGTCTGGAAGATACCTGTACATGGCCAGTCTTTCAGCACTTACGTGGATCTAGCGATAATTGAAATCCGTCAAGTTGTTATCCCAGCAAGCACGTCCGCAAAACAACGCGGGGTGTGTTACGCGCGTCGCCCCATTCGCCTTTCGCGGGTATGTTACGCGCGCTACTTCGGTAACTATTGGGACAACTAGAAGGAGTCTGCTAACAGTCTAACGGAAACTGGACCGAGTTGACTCCTGCAAAGACTTCTGGGACTGTCACGAGGGACAGAGAAAAAAAATTGGCCAATAGCTGACCGATGCGTCACCCGTAACCATCCCAGAAACCCTTGCGGGACTCATTTCGGTTCCAGTTCCAGTGGCCAGACACGCTTAATCAATTTGCGCTGACAAAGAACAAGCCTTCGGCGAATCAGCTTAAGAATCCCTTACAGGCGGCCAGTTTGCCTTAATGACGCAGTTGACACCTTCAACCAAAAAAACTGTCTGTTTTAGTAATTTTTTTACCATACTAGCCAAGCAGCAAGTGGGACTTTAAGAAGCAAGAAGCTCTGTAAGAAACTAACCTTCATTTTATACTTCATGGCTACCTCTTTGAGTAGATACTCATATCCGTACATTCCTTTGCATAGTAGGCTCACGACATGTTCTGGACCACGTGAAAACCACCTATGAAGAGGTTTACAGGTATATTTGACAAACTCCCCAGGTATAGAGGCAGACTTGTACTATGTCGCTTCGATACAAGTTTATTCGGCCGAGGTGTAGATGGTTCCATGTGCTTCGCTAAAAGATCGAAGAATATTCACCCAAAATGGTTTTCTTGTTCACGCGCAGACTATTATTTAAGTGATCGTATTTTTTGTGCAGTTTACTTCAATTTCACTGCTTGAGTTTGTACCGAAAAGACTTTGAGTTTTTGTGCGGGAGAATCGCCCGGGAACACATCGGAAGGGAAGCGGGAAAAATCAGTGACGTCATGTCCCATCCCATGTCCCCTTGAGCACCCCAATCCACCACCAGTCTGGAAATCACATAAATAGCTACTTCACTTGGTACTAGTCTTGTACAGTAGCATAGTAGTAAGGAAGGGACCGAAATAATCCACTTTTTGGTGCATGCTCTTTAGTATGAAGTACAAAATGTGCACCAATTCTGTATACATATTTTTTCAACAACCAAGATATTTTTATTCCTAAGGGTGGATTTCCACTGTCGCGTAATTTTACGAGCGTGTACAGGCACCTAAATTTTTCTCGCGTAAATAAAACAGAGACAAGATATAAAGTGTTGAGCTTAAATGTGAAATCGAGCGAGGTTCAACTTATTAAAATCAGAGAAATAGGGTCTGGGCAAGTAAAGTTCAGGTGCCGTTTACTTTATTCCCTGGCTCAAAAGTGAAATATCCTTTCCGAAGTAACTATATTCAGGACCGTACAAGATGGATAACTAAAGGATCAGTGCCTGCGATATGGCCGCCGTCACCTCGTCGCCAAGAATAGAACGCTTCACTGTTTTAAAAAGTCCCAAGTATACATAACTTTCAAGAACATAAATTTTTTCTTAACCGTCTCTTGGGGATCATGTTTCTGAGAAACTGCAACGCAATCCTAGGTATTTAACTGTGTCAATCATTTCAGTCATTCGTTGGTAGCGAGTCGTCCGTTCTTGGTAGCGACTTGGTTAGTGGCGAAATGTCTGTAAACAGTGCCAGCTCACTCACCTATCTATCAGTTCAATGATAGCATCTCGGCTTTGTTCCTAGAGACACACAAAAAAAGGAAATAAACTTTATAAACTGTCACCCGTGATCAGCTTAGGAAATTCAAAGCCCCGTTCAGTTAAATGTGTGTGATAAAGCAAACACACATACAAACCCGACTGGGAAGTGACTTCATCTTTGGCAGGCAAAATGTTGTGTCAATGTAGATGCTCTTGATATCCTTTATACTGAANAAAAAAGGAAATAAACTTTATAAACTGTCACCCGTGATCAGCTTAGGAAATTCAAAGCCCCGTTCAGTTAAATGTGTGTGATAAAGCAAACACACATACAAACCCGACTGGGAAGTGACTTCATCTTTGGCAGGCAAAATGTTGTGTCAATGTAGATGCTCTTGATATCCTTTATACTGAAATTGAAAGTAAACATCAAAGTTCAATAAATTGTTGCAGGCATGTTTATAAGAAAAACAATGTTCTACAATAACATTTTTATCATCCCGAAACATATTTTGTGAAATAACCGAGGGGGCAAAAATTAAGGTGATATGTCACCACTCGAACGGTCACTCATGCCGGATTCAATTCTGTGCATGGCTGAAACTCCAAATTAAAAGGCAAGTTCTTGACTTTCAAACCAACTACAAGATAACCTGAGACAAAGCCTTTTTCCAATCCGTAGTTAAATTTAATACGATAAAATTAGAAATGATCTTCGTTTGAATAAATACTTGACATACTTGCATCCCAAACCAATGAACATTTGGGATAACGTGGTGTATTACACAGCTTCGTATCTCAGTGGCAAAAAAAGGGGTTTAGGTAACGAACAAACCTGCCATTAACATGAAAAAAGGATATCCTCTTCACATCACCTTTTGCTAAACGAAAGTCACCTGTAAATAACCAAAGCAAAGGAATATGAGCTGAGTAACTCGTCTTCTTCCTGAACCATAACCTGTAGAATAACTCACATGTTGCCTGTTTTTCGTTTGTTCTGGTGCGAGTTTGGCAATTTTTTATTTTTCTGTTTAAAGCCTTGATCTTGCGACACAAACTCGAAAGAAGGCTGTATAAAGTTTAATGAGTACGTGAATAAATTCATGACGTCTTTGTCTAATTTTTCCAAGGACTCTTTCAACATTTCCTGTCTATCTAACTACCATTTATTTGTCTCCATCACAATAACTGATGATGCTGTTTGTTTGTTTTTCGCGGTTCGTAAGAAGTTGATCCTGTTAGTTCAATGCTTTTCCCCTCCATGCGTCATTATCACATGCACAGTCAACTAACTCTCTTCTAACAGACGTCAAATGGACAACTCGAAAACGGTAGCTCCCTGCCGTTCAAAAGTCGTTTTTCTATGTCCCTACAGGTGTCTCTATCTGCCTTTATGGCGGACAACTCCCTAAAGGGGACATGGAGTATTGATCCCAGTAGCGGTATCAGATCGTTTCACCCGATGGCAGTTCGCCCAGACTAAGTCGATTCGTCCGATGTGTATTTGTTGTTCTTTAAGCCTGAGGAAAAGGAATAAGCATGGAAAGACAATGACTGCACATGTGAAACCCAAGGTTCACCATGTTGAAGGGTGTTGCATATCTTCGGGCGAATCGTCTGAAGTCCTAGCGGCCCCCTTCGGGCGAAACGACCGCAATTTCCAGTAGTTCTTCAGCCGTTGCAATCGACTCTCTATAAGGCGGAAATCTTTCTTAGATGGAAAGCTACATGCAGTATCTTCCAAACAATGGTATCTGTCCTAGAGAGAGCTGGTAACTGCAGACTCTTTTTCTCAACCTCTCTTACCTGTGTAAAGGACGCTCCCATGTTGGCCTTCAAATAAGAACCTATGGACATCATAATCAAAGACAAATCCAGACAATAAAGTTAAACAGTACCTCCTCAACATGTAATTTAACTCACCAGTTGCATCTCGTTTTAATGCATTAGAGATTCATGTCAGGCACTATGCAATTAGCAAGGAAACAGCTCTAAGCCAATCATAATTCAATTAAACGCCGTTTGTCACTTTTAACACATGTGCTGCTTTTCAGCCAAATTTCCATGGCAACATAACTTCATCAAGAGTAATTACCTATTATTGGTATCATTATCCAGATAACCAAGGTTTGAATTTATTACAACGTTCTTTGAGACAAATCACTAATAGAAATAGATAGATGTGGATAAGATGCCCAAACAAGTTAAAGGAGATGCAAGAAGGCAGTAACCATAACAACAGAGTGAAGGTCAACTATCAGGCACTTTTACAGTGTACAGTGACAGAGGGATGGGAAGGCTGGGAGGGGGTGGGGGGGCTTTACCAACTGCTAGGGAAGGGCAACATGAGGAAAATGATTTGACTTAAATGGGAGCATGGCCCTTGTGACGCCCTACGACCACCCCATATACAAATAGCAAAGGAGACTGCTGGCCAGCATTACCTTAATGCTTATGTTTAACCTTCCCTGAGTTACATTTACAGTCACACATAAATACTGTTATAGAATACTTACATGACGGAACCAACACAATGACCAGCAGGGAGGAGTGTTACACAAATTGAATTTTGCTGTGGAAATTATAATCAAACACACAAAAAAATCAAACATTATAATACATAACAGAATTTAAAAATGACCAGAAGTCTTAACACACCTCTTCAGTCTTCTCATCAAAGAGTGGAATAATGGTCTGTTGCTCCAAAGGTATACTACGCTACATTTAGAGAAAAAAAAGATGATATTTTGTTATTGTTCAGCCAATATTATAAAACAAGGAGGCAGAGACTGGCTGAGTGGTCAGCATGTAGGACCCACAATCCGGCATTCCTGGGTTTGTGTGCTGCTCTGCCACTTGCTGGATTTGTTCCCGGTCGTAATGAGTTCAAACCCTCAGTTAACTTTTATGCTTTATTTGGATTATTTATTTGAGAATTATTTGAGCGGTGTGCCTGTAAACTAGCTAGGTAAGCTAAGTGCTCTTTCCGCTATAAACAGTGCTACATGTATATACTTGTGCTGTATACAGGACAGTCTGGTCATAAAAAATACAAATGACTTACTCCAAACAAACAAGTTTACTATGTAAGAAACAAAGTTTGCCAAACAACTTAAAAAACAGAAGGCTGCCTAAATTGTCTGTCAATGATGGAAATTGAATCTGACTGACTTTGATCCAGTCACTGGAATTATGACATGACATGACACGACTCCTGACTATTCACGCCTATTATAATGCTCATTCCATGGGAAAGAAAGGACGATGAAATATTATTTTACTAACAATATAATCCTTCAGGTGACTGTATGCTGGGTTGCACATTAACAGATTTTGGGTTGTTTCAGAACAATAAACAAACACAGTTTTGCTGGTGAGAGAAAAAGAATATTTAACATTAAAATAAAGTATTTTGTTATTTACAGTTTGAGATGTTACTTTAACAGAAATTTAAATTACATTTTTAATTTACTTTAAAATGTTGATGGGTTATGATCCTAGAGGACCTTCAGTATGTAAGTTACCTTGGTGAACAAAGAAAGCAAATATTTTTGGCCTGAGCACAAATCCAATGACTTTTTAAAGATGCAAGATATCGGAACATATTTCAATTTTCTTCCACAGGAAAGTGGAAAATGCTTTAATCAAAAGTTACTAGTTATCCAAAACAACAAACTGCATTGCATTATTTTCAAATCTAATATCTACACCTTGCAGATGGAAAATCACCATCCACTAAGATTTCTCTTACCTTGTCATCAGTCTGTCATGGAAAGCCGAAGAATCCAATCCAGACATATGATCTGAGTGAAATACAAACAAGAAAACTTTGCCATAATTTCACCACAATCCTTTTCACCTACTTTCCAATGTTTATACAGAACCACATAAATGTCATATTTGGTGAGATCTTACTGTCAAACTCAGAAAACCATGAACATCTGAAAATTTTCGGGAATGTTGATTGTGTATTGACCAATCACAGTGAAGATAAGGACATGCAAGCAAAAAATACTTTATGTAAGAACACAGATTATGCAAAATAAAAGAAACAAATTAAAGTAGTAGACAATAACGTCTCCCTACGAGGTTTGTCAATTTCTGCTTGTTTGTTTGTTTGTTTCACACAATCTGTGCCCCAAGGGTAAAGATTTCCGTACAGGCCCCCATTTAAGGTTACTAATGATGCAGCACGCAAACTGTACAATGTGCGGAAATCTTTACCGGTGCATTTATTTTAGTAAAGACGAATAAGCTTTATACCTTTGTGACAATGAGAAAGAAAAAATGCCACACTATCAAGATTCTCTTTCTCAAAATTGTCTGCAGAGATTGCAGGATACTCCCGGAATTTTCCCGTAAAAGAGCTCATGTTGAATCGCGACAACGCTCTGTCCGCGATCGGTTAGAACAGGCACAAGTATAATAAGAAATATCACGTCATTTTAAGGGGAAAGAAGGTCGAAATAGTAAAAAAAAATAATAATCAAATATGGCGGCATTTCGCGAATTGTGGTGCCCAGTCTCAATTCTACCATATAAGGCCAACATGGTCATATTTGGTAACGTGACATCACCCGACAAGTGCTATCACTGTATCACGGGTTTCTCTTGTTGTCTTGTTGTAAAGTCTTGAAGTTCTTCGTATATTTATAGCTGTTTTAAGAATATCATTGAGGTCTTTGTGATGTCCGCGGCTGATATAGAGTCGCAGGATTCCATAGACGCGGAATCGAGCGAATATGATGAGGATGAAGATAATGATGACGACTATTATTACACGAATATTTATGACGATGAAGGAATGGCGTCCGACAAAGAGGAAGACCCTGAAAGTTTCGAATATGTGATCATTGATACGAATGAAGCTAAGCAAATGTTCGATTCCTTTGTAGCTAACGTTTCCCGGCAAATAAAGGTGGGATCCTTAACGATACCTTTAAAGTGCAATAATATTGTTCGGTAATGTCATCATATCTTCGTGATCTTTATTTATTTCCTATTTCACTAAGTTCTAATTTATTTCCAAGGTGTCGGAATCTGTTGCTAGGATTCTTCTTATTCAGCATGACTGGAACACAGAGAAGATTTTAGAAAGGTTTATCTTATTTATTTTAAATTCAATCTCATTGTCCCCTAGATAGGAGACCCGTTAGCTCTTATTAATTACATTATTTTAGGTTATTTGAATTCATAGTAATTGATCAATAATTAA